TTTAGGGTTTAGGGCTTAGGATGTTAGAGTTGAGGGGTGTAGATCTTTTGAGCCGGATTTCTGGGTGCAGGTCGGCATGTGCAAACCCAGAGACTCCAAAACCCCTTAATTAAGGAATATATCTTAAATCATATTAGGATTCCTATTATAACTTAGGATATATTCCTTAATTAAGGGGCTTTGGAGTCTCTGGGAAGTTTCCGCGAGATTTAAAGGCCAAACCATGAGCCCCAAAGCCAAAACCGCAGTTCCAACATTGGGTTTAGGGTTTAGGGTTTAGGGTTTAGGGTTTAGGGTTTAGAGTTTAGGGTTTAGGGTTTAGGGTTTAGTGGGGACCCTTGGGAATATAGACCCTCTCAATAAGGTCCCTTTTAAGAGAGCCAAAAATTGGGTTCAGAGGGGGTACCCTTTAAGGGGTACCCCTAATCATACTACCTAAACATAGCCCCGGGAGGTTCCGAGAGTTCGCAGTTTCGGGCTTGGGCGTACATCTAAGGGCTTTAGGAGGGACCCGAAATAGGGACCTTTGTGGGTTATTGGGGTTAATATGGAGACGACCTGGCTTTTTTGAGGGTTATATAAGGACTATACCATGGTTATTTATTCAAGGTAATGGGATTAAGGGTCCTTATTAGGGGTTTCATTAGGGGTCCCTCCTAAAGTCCTTAGATTAAGTCTGGTCGTTCCTGAAGCAAGAGGGCATCTAGATACAGATATAGGCATGGATATACTATATCGTTGATAGAGACAGGGGCAGGCGACATCCTCATCCGACACAAAGGCATATCCTGTGAAGAACGTTTTAAGCTGCCGGGAAAGTCAAGCGTAAACGCTTAACTACCAAACCCCAAACCCTAAACCCTCAGCCCCAAACCCCATACTTACTTGGAGCACCTGCCCAGGTCTGCCAATGTCTTCAATGTTTAAGCAATGTATCGCAAACGATACTAGGATCCCTGACATGATTCATGTAAGGTGTGTGTGTATATATACTCTATCTATATATATATATACATACATACATACATATTCCTTAATTGAACGATTTTGGAAGATCTGCGTTAAGTTCTTTGGGGCACCTACGTACTGTTGATGATATAAATCCTGCATTACCTTAAGGACCCTAAACTATGGACATTAAGGTCTATTCCCTATTATGGGTCATGCAGTATTTATACATCATCAACCGTAGTTCTGCTTAAAAGATCATGGGACTTAGTAAGTAGGGTAACTATACTTATAACCCCAATCAGGGGACTTGTAACCTTACTTACTAAGTCCTAAACCCTAAACTAAACCCTAAACCCTGAACCCTAAACCCTTACTTACTAAGTCCTATGATCCAAGTGGTGTCTCGTCGAGCAGCTGCTCCGAGGTCGGCCACCCGCAGGCCGCGAAGGAGGTTGGAGTAGTCCTCGTGGGGAGTTTTCTGTCTTTGCCCTAACCCTCCAGGCACCTACCCTAGGGTTCAGGGTTTAGGGTTTAGGGTTCTATAGCCCTAAACCCTAAACCCTAAATAGTAGGTACTTGGAGGGTTAGGGTTGTTGTTTAGGGCTTCCTTTTCAAAACCCAGGGGTTCGGATCGCTGGGTGTGCAAAATCAGGGTTTAGGGCTTTGGGGTTTGCTCGTGGCTGCTATTTAGCAACCCTACTTGGAGGATCATAGGACTTAGTAAGTAAGGTTATAAGTCCCCTAACCGGGGTTATAAGTATAGTTACCTTAATAATTATAACCCTACTTACTAAGTCCCATGATCCTTTAAGTAAGCCCTATACCCTAACCCTTTCGGGTTTGGGCTAGAGTTTAGGCAGTTTTGCGCTTTGGGTCACCACCTCAAGCACCTCCTACGCCCTAACTGGCCCCGTCGAAGCTTTAGGGTTCCAGGCTCCCCGTAACCCCTGAGCCATAGACTAAACCGAAACCCTGAACCCCCACACACAAAACAGATCTAAACATTAAGACCCTAAACCCTAAACCCTACACCTAAACCCTAAACCCTAAACCCTAAACCCTAAACCCTACATCTAGACCCTAGACACTAAGCTCCTGTTCCAGGATTCAGAGGGCCGAGGTTTCCAGGTGTCGGGTTTTGGGTTTGTGCCGGTTCGCTTACGTTCGACTCTGTTCATAAAACTGCCAGGGAAACCCTCAACCCTAAACCCTAAACCCTAAAACCCTCAACCCTAAACCCTAAACCCCTAAACCCCTAAACCCTAAACCCTAAACCCTAAACCCTAAACTCTAGCGTGGGGTTTACTTAGTGGTTGGGTGAGGGCTCAAGGATCCCAGTTCGGGTTTACCTGGACCCCAAAGAACCTACCGTTTTAGGGTTTAGGGTTTAGGGCTTTAGGGGTTTAGGGTTTAGGGTTTTAGGGGTTTAGGATTTAGGGCTTTAGGGGTTTAGGGTTTAGGGCTTTAGGGGTTGAGGGTTTAGGGTTTTAGGGGTTTAGGATTTAGGGCTTCAGGGGTTTAGGGTTTAGGGTTTAGGGTTTTAGTGG